GGGTTAACCAGCTGAAGCTCCTGAGGCACCTGCTGAGAAGGCTCTCCCATTGAAGTAGCTGCCTCACTCTCCCTGAGGACAGGGTTGGCCCTTTTGTCTCCGCCCACATGCTGGCTGGGGGAATTCTGGGAGTTGAAGTCCAAACATCTTAAATTGGCCAGCGTTGAGAAACACTGCCTTAACCACTACATCACCTGAACAGAGCAGTGCATATGCACGCCCCGTGCTTCTGTGGAGCATGGGGCTTTGACTTCCTGCCTGTTGCACATGGGTAGAAAGTGAGGGTTAACCAGCTGAAGCTCCTGAGGCACCTGCTGAGAAGGCTCTCCCCTTGAAGTAGCTGCCTCACTCTCCCTGAGGACAGGGTTGGCCCTTTTGTCTCCGCCCACATGCTGGCTGGGGGAATTCTGGGAGTTGAAGTCCACACCTCTTAAAGTTGCCAGCGTTGAGAAACACTGCCTTAACCACTACATCACCTGAACAGAGCAGTGCATATGCACGCCCCGTGCTTCTGTGGAGCATGGGGCTTTGACTTCCTGCCTGTTGCACATGGGTAGAAAGTGAGGGTTAACCAGCTGAAGCTCCTGAGGCACCTGCTGAGAAGGCTCTCCCCTTGAAGTAGCTGCCTCACTCTCCCTGAGGACAGGGTTGGCCCTTTTGTCTCCGCCCACATGCTGGCTGGGGGAATTCTGGGAGTTGAAGTCCACACCTCTTAAAGTTGCTGAGGTTGAGGAACACTGGTCTAGCTTATGGCTTTGAAATTGGTCGGAGGTCTCCTGCCTGGCACTAGCCAAGGCCGTGACTCTGAGCTCCATTGTCTTACAGAAGTGGCCGGTTTAAATGGAAATGTGAATGACTGTCCATGTTGGCACATGGGGAATCTGGCCCTGCGGATTTGGGGCACCTCTCCAAGAAGGCACCATTGCTTCCCTGAAGCTCCTATGGGGATCCCCCCCCCATTTCCTTTTTAAAGCCATTTCCGCAGGCTATGTGAATGTTTATGGGTTGTCTCTTCTCTAGGTCAGAAAAAAGGCAGCTGTGTGGCTTCTGAATACTTCCTCGAGGCTAGGCCTGACCCCGACCCAGAAGGCCCCCTTGTTACGGAGAACACAGAAAATATCCTCAGTAAGTAGATAATACATCTAGACACGATGTGATTTCACAGCATTAACAATGGATAAATTAGTATCAGGTGCATGTTGAAAAGGTGATCCAAATCAACACTGCATTAGAAGGAAGGGTTAACACCCTACATATGTGCCTGTGGACACACACACACCCATACGCACCCCAAGTTCCTAATTCATATCTCATCCCCCCCCCCACATTTCCTTTTTAAAGCCATTTCCGCAGTCATAAGTTCATTGCCTGAAAGTTCTTGCACGTCAAATACAGAATCTTTCCACTTCATCAGGAGTACAAAAGGGTAGACGTCTCAGCCTGCCATGCGTTCCTTGTCCTTATTTATTTTATCCACCCTGGATGCACATCTACATAAATTCCAAGATTTTGCAAAAAAACCCAAAAAAAGCTATTAGGTTAACCCTTCACTGAGCTAACCTGCTCAGCAAGGTTAAGGTTGCAAGCCTGTCCCTTCCAGCATTATTAGGAGTACACGTATTAGGAGTGCTGTGTCACTTACAAATGCTTGTGAGTCAGCCTCGATACAGATTTGTTAATTTTCACAGATGAGAAAAAGTATTTGCACCATTCCAGTTGAGGAGAAGGGCGCTAGGTACTAGGAGGGAGATGCTTGGCAGGAGATAGAGACCACCAATTTTCATGCCCTGCCATGCCCACCCACAGCAGCAGATGCTGTTCAGGTCAGCTGGCAAGTGAGGGGCAACCGACAGACAGAGCGTGGCAAGGGGGCCATCTCCCCAAAGAGAACGCTGGGCTTCCAGACACAGCTTCTGGGTTGAGTTCTGGTTCTGCACCGGTATGGCATTTGGGGGAAATCTGCCATGTGCAGAGGAGGCAATGATCAAGGACCCGGGCACTAAGAGCCCCCCCCCCCCCATGGCTGGGGTGCACCTCAGAGGCTCCATGACTCACCCAAGCCCATTTGGTGTAGTGGTGTAGGTGCTGGGCTACAAACCGGGAGGGTCTGAATTCTAGTCCCCCCTAAGGCATCAAAGCCAGCTGGGTGACTTTGGGCCAGTCCCACTCTTTCAACAGGGTTGTTGTTGTGGAGAAAAGGCATTATGTATGACACTTTGAGTTGTATAAGAATAAAGGCAGGATATAAATTAAGCCAGTCAATAAAAGGTGGAGCCAAGTTGCCACACTGAGCACCATGTTGGTAAATAAACCAAATGCTACCTCTGGCCTCATCTTGGCTGCTGGGCTGGGGCATCTACCGAGCCCAGATTCAGTGAACGTCTTCATCTGAGCAGCCCAGGCCACTGCTCGGCTGTGGCCAAGTGTTCTCCATCTCTCCTGTTGGATTTTTAGAGTTTCTCAACCTTGGCAACTTTAAGATGTGTGGACTTCAACTCCCAGAATTCCCCAGC